GAGGAGGCATACGCTGGCTTCCCTCTTGGAGGTGGGGGGGAGAATCCTGGGAGGAGGCAGATGCAGAGGACTCTCTGCTGCCACTGGCACCCTGTCGCCACTCCCCAGACCCTACTCCCCTGCCCCCAGCTACAGAACCCTGTCCTCTGCCCTCCCAGCACCCCGTTCCCTCTCCCCTGCCCCCAGCTGCAGAACTGTCCCCACAAAATGTATAATTCTAAATGCTTCATTGTACATTTAAATAGCATGAACAGACCATTTATTCCATAGCTATAAACATGTGATTTTAATTTTATATATCCCATAATTTAAAAAAAACTTTCAGAGTGTGTAAGTAAGGGTTGGGAATAGCAAGTGATGGACAGGAGGGGAATAGAGGGCGGGGCTTCAAGGAAGGGGCGTGGCAGTAGATCTTTGCTGGTTCTGAGATTTAACAAGTGATCTTGGGTGTAAAAAGGTTGGAGACCACTGCCCTAGAGGGTGGTGGGCCACAGAGCAACTGAATTGCTGGGGGTGGGTATCGTGGTGTTTGCAAATGTTCTGCAAGGTATCCCTCAGCCCATGGCAGGAGAGGGGAAGCTACCTGAGCTGCAACAGCCTCCCCTAACCAGACCACGTTGGCTTTGCTAGGGCAGCATTCAACCTGTGTCCCTGCTCCCTCTTCCCATGCTTGTGTAAGAGGACTGTTAGCCCCTTACTAAAACTTGGGGTTTTTTGGTTAGCTAGCTCCCAGTATCAAAAGGGGAAGAGTTGGTGAGAAATCAGGGCCCTGAGCCCGAGGTCAACACTCAAGTCAGCCTGATTGACAGGCCAAAGAGGGAATTAGGCCAGATCCTGTCCTCAGAGCTGGGATTTTTGGGTCTGAGAAAAAGGGTAGAGAGCTAAGAAGAGTTGCAAAGGGTGCTGAGCAGATCTGCAGTGACTAGAGCCAAAGGGGTCAGAAGCAATGCAAGGAACCTGGCAAAGCAGCATAGTCTGCAGCTGGGTGTGGTGAGCAGGTGGGACTAGCAAAAAGGGATGGGGAAGAGGCTCTGGGCAGGGAGGCACTACCAGCCAAGAGGCCTTGTAGGCCAGACAGTGAGAGGGATCCTGCCACCTAGAGCCTGAAGTCCTGTGGTTACTGCCAGAGCAAGCATGTCCAGCCTGTACACCTGGGGCCTGAGAGGGCCCTAGGGACTTGAGGGACAGACTGAACTGTCCTTGCACACTGTTTGTGATGTCCCTGTGCCATGGAGTGAGGCTGTGCGCCCTTTTAACCTCATTTTCTTTTCAATCGCTGTTGAATTGTATTCACTTTGAACTAGATGTAATGATCAGTGAGTCAGAAAAGGATCCAGTATGAAGAGAGCAACCTGGGCCCAGCCTTGTTGGGATTTTGAGGACTGTGCTACTCAGGAGAGTGGAAGGGCAGCCAGGCCTTTGGGTAAAATAAGTGGGAGTGGGGACTCAGATCCTTTTGCTGGTCCATTTTACCAGGGTAGTAGAGAAGCCAGTAAAGTTCCCCACAATAGCAGGATGGTTACCCTGCTTCCACTTGCTTCTCCTCTCAACATTGGGTGCACCCTTCCCCTGGCTTGAGCCCCTAGCAAGAGGCAGGGTGATGTGCACTACTTCCTGATGAGCACGACTAGCAACAATGTTGAGAGCATTGCATGTTTAAATTAGCATGTTCTAATAGAGCTATCCAAACTATTCTAGTAGCCTGCATATGTTTTGTGAATGAAGGAAGGCATGCTCCTTACTAAAGTTTTCCAGTGGTGCAGCAAATAAATGAATCCATTAAGGGATTAAAGTGTCATTATGCTGAGCAAAAATACTGTTTTACAGAGCTGACTTTCCCTGCACAGTCATATAGCAGAGCTTTAAGACAATACTGGCAGATAGCCAAGAGTCCATGGTAAGCAGCTGCATGATTCAGCCAGGCAATTCCCCATGCTACAGTGTTGAGCCTTTGCTGTCGCCACAGGGTAGGCATGTTGTTGCTGTATGTAGTTGAGGCACAGTAAATCTTAAGAGCTTGACAGCTAGCTCCAAAACACCTTTGGGCATCAAATCTCCCAACACTGATCCCTGTTTGACATGTTTCAATGGAGTCAGAAGGTACTTGGAATGGTAAAAATCCTCCATCCATACTGAGGCTGACTGGACTTAGCTGAAAACACAAATGGTCTGCTACCCCCACAAGTTCAAGAAATAGCTGAACCCCCTTCATGTCTAGCAGCACCTTTAGGTTAAATGATTACACTGAAATGCTGTAGGAGTTGTAGGATGAACAGAACTTTAGTTGGAGAGCTTAGCACTCAGTGAGTTTGGTAGTTTAAGCAACCTTCCAGGAAATCAGAATCAAGGTATGCTAGATCCAGTGTAAATAACAAATTTATTGTGGTCACTTAGGTAGAAAAAAATTCTACACAGAAGTCACATGACCTGTTTTCAACATGAACACTTCTAAACCCCAGTTCATTTTATAGTCCCACCCTACTACCCACCCTTCCCCCCCCCCAGACATCAAGCAACTGCTAATGAAAAGCAGTAAACAGCCACTTTGGGCTAACATTTCCACCTCCACACAGAGTGAAGATTCCAATTACATTCCAGATTAGAGTTCAATATTATCTTAAGAGTTCGAGTGTCCAGTATTTACAATGCAACATTCAGAGATCAAAATTTACAATTCATCCTTTTCTCCTGCTTCCTCTTCACCCGGAGGAGGGCCTGCACTTCCATAAAGCTTACTAACAATTGGCTGGACAACTTCCTCCAGCTCCTTCTTTTTAGCTTTGAAGTCTTCAATTTCAGCATCTTGGTGGCTTTCAAGCCATTCAATCTTTTCCTCTACTGCCTTCTCTATTGTTTCCTTGTCTTCAGGTGAGAGTTTGCCACCCAGTTTCTCTTTATCCCCAATCTGATTCTTCAATGAATAAGCATAGCTTTCCAACTCATTTCTGGTATCAATACGTTCTTTAAGCTTTTTATCTTCCTCTGCAAACTTCTCAGCATCATTAACCATTCTCTCAATCTCCTCTGGTGTTAGGCGGTTCTGGTCATTGGTAATTGTGATCTTGTTTTTATTTCCAGTGCCCTTGTCTTCTGCTGTAACACGGAGGATTCCATTCACATCTATCTCAAAGGTAACTTCAATCTGTGGGACACCACGAGGAGCAGGAGGGATTCCAGTCAAGTCAAAAGTACCCAGGAGATGGTTGTCCTTGGTGAGAGGACGTTCACCTATAGAGGAAAGATTATTTTAGTTTGGGAACAAGCACAAACATGACCTGAGGAAAGGTTGAAAGAACTGGGCTTGTCAAGTATCTAAAAGGGTGTTAAAACAAGGAAGGAAAAAATCTTTGGCCCTCTGATAGGACATGAAGAAATGGGCTTCAATTGCAGCAAGGGAGGTTTAGGTTGGATGATAGGAAAAACTTACTCTGTGGTTAAACACTGCACAATCTCCCTAGCAATGTACTGCAATCTCCATTACTGGGGATAGTTAATGCAGGTTGGATAAACATCTGTCAGGGATGATCTAGGCAGTGCCTGGTCCTGCCATGAAGGTAGGGGACTGGATTTGATCTCTGTGGTCCCTTTGCAGTTCTAGCATTTGATGATTCTAAAGGGTGGCATAACATATGGTTTGACATTGTTAGGATAAGACTGAACCTCTGTCTTGTTTCACTAAGAGATCTGAAAGCCAGCCAAAGTTTGGAGGCACTTGAATAGTTGTTGAAGCTAGATGGCCTAATTAAAAGAAAGTGTTCCATTATGGCTTTTAGCTGTCTACAGTAGTGCATTCCTTTGCCTGCAACAAAGGGGAATAACTTGAGCTATCCGTGTTTGTAGTAAAAACCTTTGCCCTGCCATAGAGAGGATTTAGACTTCTCCCTCCAAAGACCACAAGATTAGAGCCCTCATTGGAAGGGAGGGGAACACGGGACAAATCTAGTCGTTACTAGAACACTAATATTGTTCAAGACCTTACAAGTAGCCTTGAGTTTACCAAGTTATCTTAATTTAAAAAGTTGATTCTCCATAAGAGCTATGAGAATTCTGGTACTACCTTTAATTTTGAGATGGTCATTTGTTGCTCCTAGTCTAAGGCTTTACAAAAAGTTAAACAAATTCTACAGGATACATCCTATTTTAATTCTGTGATACAAGACTTACCCTCATAGACCTTGATTGTTACAGTTGGCTGGTTATCAGATGCTGTTGAGAAAATCTGTGATTTCTTGGTGGGGACAACAGTATTTCTTGGAATGAGCTTGGTCATAACACCCCCAACAGTTTCAATGCCAAGTGTCAAAGGACACACATCAAGCAGCACCAGATCACCTAAAAAGCAAGACATTTTTCTAGCTTTACTCATTCGGTTATGATGGTGTTATGCTAGATTACATGGGCCAATGGTTACCATACCTTCCCTTATCAAGGGATGGTAAAAGTATTGTTCCTAGTGTGGCAATGCTAACGAGAATGGGAGCTTTCAAGAAACTGCTCCAGAACTAACAGTAAAATGTAAACATTGTGTATTGCTAGTTTAGTCTGCACATACCAGTATCTTGGTCACCCGAAAGGACACCAGCTTGAACAGCAGCTCCATAAGCTACAGCCTCATCTGGATTGATGCCACGAGAAGGCTCTTTGCCATTGAAGAACTCTTTAACAAGCTGTTGTATCTTGGGGATTCGAGTAGAGCCACCCACAAGCACAATCTCATCAATGTCTGATTTCTTCAGGTCAGAATCTTCTAGAACTTTCTGCACAGGCTTCATAGTGGAACGGAACAGATCCTAAAATGCAAATAAGTTACAATAGTAAAGATATGGCATTGTTTCTCCTCTCTGCTGGAGAAATACAGCTGAATAAGCGACCATGAGTAAGCTAAACAAATCTGGCTGGAGTGAGTATGCCATTTTACCATGTGACCACAGGCAAGTCTTGTGCCTTAGTATGTCCTCCTCTAACTATCATATGCACTGACATTAAACTTTGCTGTGAAGCAATAACTGTTTTGTCCATTTAGTGCAGTATAAGCAATAATTGAACATAAACATCCAAGTAACAGTAAACCATTGACTGGCTGCAAAACAATTCTAACACTAGCTTCAAATACTTACCATATTCAGTTCTTCAAACTTTGCCCTGGTCAAGGTCTCCGAGAAGTCCTCTCCTTCAAAGAAGGACTCTATTTCAATTCTAGCCTGATGCTGAGAGGACAGAGCTCGCTTTGCTTTCTCCACTTCCCGACGTAGCTTCTGTACAGATCTGTTGTCCTTCCTAACATCTTTACCCGTTTTCTTCTTGTACAGCTTGATGAAGTGTTCCATAACACGTTGGTCAAAGTCCTCTCCACCCAAGTGAGTATCTCCATTTGTAGCCACAACTTCAAAGACACCATTATCAATGGTGAGAAGGGAAACATCGAAGGTTCCACCGCCTAGATCAAATACAAGGATGTTTTTCTCGCCCTCCCGCTTATCCAGGCCATAGGCAATGGCAGCAGCAGTACTGTATAGAAGAAATAGTAGTTAGAGAACTCACGTGGCCTAGTACAAGACATTTGCAGAACAGTTGGAAAGCTACTTACGGTTCATTGATTATTCTCATGACATTCAATCCTGCAATAGTACCAGCATCCTTTGTAGCTTGACGCTGAGCATCATTGAAGTAAGCTGGGACAGTGACAACAGCATGGGTAACCTAGAGGAGGAGGATTAAATTAACTCAATTTCAATCAGCAACAAAAAAGAAATGAAAATTTGTGACTTCCAATTTAAAAAAGTGATTGTCACTGCCTTGAAAATGCACTCTCACTTTCCAAGGGAAGGAGAACTTCCTTTAATGCTATGATTTAAGGAAAGCTCGCTGGGGCCTGTCCCAACACTCATCCATCATTTCTGCAAATGCTCCCAGCCAAACTGGACACAAATTAAGAGTCAAACTAGTCTCCATATTAGATTTTCACCTATCACTTCATTCCAGAAAGCTGCTACTGCTATAAGATGTCAGTGAGCCATTTGTTATGTACCTACCTTCTTTCCTAAATAGGCCTCAGCAGTTTCCTTCATCTTTGTCAAAACCATAGCAGAAATTTCTTCTGGAGCAAAAGTCTTCATCTGTCCACCACCAACATCAACTTGAATATATGGCTTGGTTTTCTTTTCAATCACCTATCGAATATACATTTATGACTACAGTTATGATCAGAACATGAATATTTGAGTAAAAATGTAAATTTCTAATAGCTAGAAGTGTCTTTTAATGAAGAGAACTGAAGCCTGAACAATGGTCATAAAGGCCATGAAAGGAGCTAATATTACTAGAGAGAACCATCAGACCCCCATCAATATCAAATGCTCATTCCATTTTGACTCAAAGCAAAATAGAGCCCATGAACTACTCCAGTTAGGGGAAAATTAAAATACTGAATGGCACTAATGTAACATCATGACACCCTCCCCCCAACCCTTTAGTAAAAAGAGAGAGTGCTAGCCAGAAACCTAATGATTTTTGGATGTGCCCATGATCCCATCTACATGTTTTATTAGTTTATAAAGTGCTACCAGACCATTTGTTGCTTTTTTCAAGAGGATTCAGTTTGGCTAGCAAGGGAAGAGACAATGAAATGTTAAGTCACCTATGTGAGCAGCTATTAGACCCCAGCCTGCACCTGTGACCCAGCAGCACATAATCACCCCCAGCCTAACCCTGGCATCTCCCAGACCTTGAAGGGCAGGTACTTGATGTCCTGCTGGACAGAGGGGTCGTTCCAGGTGCGGCCGATGAGGCGCTTGGCGTCGAACACGGTGTTCTCGGGGTTGGAGGTGAGCTGGTTCTTGGCCGCATCCCCGATGAGCCGCTCGCCCTCGGGCGTGAAGGCCACGTAGCTGGGGGTGATGCGGTTGCCCTGGTCGTTGGCGATGATCTCCACGCGCCCGTTCTGATGTCCTGCTGGACAGAGGGGTCGTTCCAGGTGCGGCCGATGAGGCGCTTGGCGTCGAACACGGTGTTCTCGGGGTTGGAGGTGAGCTGGTTCTTGGCCGCATCCCCGATGAGCCGCTCGCCCTCGGGCGTGAAGGCCACGTAGCTGGGGGTGATGCGGTTGCCCTGGTCGTTGGCGATGATCTCCACGCGCCCGTTCTTGAACACGCCGACGCTGCGGGAGACACGAGGCCGCGTCAGGCGGGCCCCTC